TAATGTTTATTGCATGATTCTATATGTCAGATATCATATTTATCTATTTATAGCCATTATATCATTTAATACCCACAAGAATCCTACAACAGAAGTCCTATCATTAACTCATATTGCCATCACATCTAAAAGGTGTCCCCTTGTCTGCATTTCTGAAATGGTGGTCATAATAAGGAAACATGCCTTTCTATCAAAATGCCCTTTACATGGTGCCCTGTCACAGTCATGAGATACCTCAAATGATTTAAAACTTTAGCAACAAGTCTAAAAAGAAAATGTAATACTGTCTAAGCAAGAGTACAAATTCCCTTCTAACTTACTGCCAAAAGGCTGGATAAGATTGTCTAGTTAATTATGATAAATCATCACTTCTCGGCCTTTTGGTAAGATCAAGTGTAATTATGATAAATTTACCTCATTTTTTTCTCTATGTAAGACCAAATTCAAACCATTGACTTGTGAGCTGTCTCAGAAAATGGAGGTATAAAATTGACTCCTTATTTTGAGGGCCACAATAATATGTATCACATGGGGTGGATAAGAACTAAATAGATAGAGCATCTATACTTTCCACATAGTTTATCAATAGCTACTAAGATTCCTCTATTTCTCATGATCATTGTTGTCATCATTAGTTTAGTATCTTCCATGTACCAGGTCCATGTTAAAATGTTGGAGGAAGAACTACATCCATTCATGGAATTTCATAGTACCTGGGGGACGCTTAGTCAATAAACATTCAGGATACAATTATTCGTAAAGAAAGAGGTTTTAAATTCACCCTATTTTAGGTTGTGAAAAAATAATTTATTAATTTAATATTCTAGGCAACAAGTCACTAAGCAATCTTATTAAGAATACTCAACCTGGATATTAATAAACAGGGAAATATTAAGTATAATGTTGTGAAAGCCAATCTAAATATGAATCAAATAAAGACATATCTTAGAACACAAAAGGATCTCTCTTTTTCGTTGTTGTTTTTTGGTACAGGGAATCAAATTCAGGACCTTGCGCTTGCGAGGCAGGTGGTGGCACCACTGAGCTAAACCCCCCGGCCCAAAAAAGGATCTATTTTGGGGTCCCCTGTAAGTTTGCACTTTCTTGACTTCACTAGCAGATATTGCTGTGAAGTAGAGGGAGGCCTGCACACAGGGATGTCAGCACAGATATGCATGTTGTGAACCCTAAAACTCACTTATCCACAATGTAAAGGTATCCTAATATTTACTTATCTGTATTTTTGTTGGTTTGCTTACCTATATTTTAATACATTGGGAACAACTTGGACAAACATTTCCTAAGATAGTGATTTTTATTTCAAATATTTTATGGTTTAGAAAGTACTTTTTATGTACATGATTTGTTTAATAACCTTCTAATAAGGTAGGTGAGTCTTGTTAGCTCTAATTTCTTGGTTCATTTGAAACTCATAGAGATTAGTTCGAAAGTCTGACATTTTACAGTTAACAAATTTATAGGTGTCAGCACCAGGGTTTAAACACTGGGTTTCTGAGCCAAAGTCCAGAAAGCTTCCTATATTGATCAAACCTAATGAAAAGTCAGTAATATGAGTTTTAATATTCATGGAATCCAACAATATAGACATGAATATACATAATTGCTTTAAGACTTTTAACTTTAGGAGTACTGTGTCTTAAGTAGCTAAAATATAATTCTAGAAACATTTGGTGTTAGCAAACTTATCAAAGAAGAGCTTTCTAGTATAAGATTTGATAGGAAATGAAATAAAATTGATTAAAATTTATTTGTTTCTAGATCAAATTCTTTGTTAAAGTGAAATCAATTAAGTACAAATTGTAAATACTGTACCAAACTCTATAAATTCTATATAATATATATTATATATATTCATTACACACAGTTTTCCTTTTAATAACCTAGTCATCTTCTACAACTAATTTACTATGCCATATTATGGCTGGGTGCATGCCTATAATCTCAGCACTCCAGAGGCTGAGCCAGGAGGATCGCTGTGACTTCGAGGCCAGTCTGGGCTACGCAGCAAGTTCAAGATAGCCTAAACATAGCAAAACCTTGTCCCCAAAACAACAACAACAAAAATTCTATGGTAAATACTTAGTAGTCAAATGCTTTGAATATATTTTAAAGAACTTAATTCTTAAAAGACAATTTATATGATAATAGACAAGAAAAATGTATCAACTGTATTTTGTTCATATATTATCTCTACAAAGAAGTGTTCTATTGGACATATATACATACTGATGTAACCAACTGTATCAGTTTGCCTGGAGTCAGGGATTCTCAGGACATGGAAGTTTTGCTAAGGCTGAAACAGTCCCAGGAAAGCCAGGACAGTTGGTCATGGAAGTAATGGACTCCACACAAGTAATATTCCTATATGGACATATATATA